TATAGTTCTCAAAAGTCTGGCTAAAAAGGTATTATTGAATTTATCATTAGGCCATACAAATTTAATAAATTGGTTCTCATAATCTGATCAGATCAAATTTTGAAAAAATTTTTTTGACTATATTGATTATTCAGGTAGATTTTTTCAGACGTTTATTAAAAAATTTTACGTTTTTTGCAAAATTTTAATAGGCAGAGAAAAAGAACAAGTTACACTTGAACAAGTTCTAGATAATGTAAAACCGCATAGTCTGAATAAACAAAATAAACTACAAGCAGCGTATACAGAGTAGATCATTATGGATTCTTTATCCTTTAATATACTTCGTAGAGAAGGATTTCAGCGATTTATGAAATAAATTGATCCACGGTTTAAACTACCATCTAATAAAAGGTGTAAAAATTTTATAGCAATGGCTTATCAAGATAGAATAACCCAACTTAAGATAAAAATTAATGAAACATGTGAATATGCTACTATTACTACGGATCTCTGGACTGCCAGATCCAAATTTGGATATATCAGCATTACGGTTCATTGGCTCACACCTGATTTTGAAATTATTGATGTGCTTCTTACTATTGAACGTATGCAGTATCTTCATACAGCTAAGAAAATATATGATTATATTGATAATAAAATAGGTGAATTTGGTTTAAATAAAAAATTATTTTTAGGAGTCACCAATAATGGTTCCAATATGAAAAAAGCTTTTACCATATGGGAAGATATTGAATGATTACCCTGTTCCGCTCATACTCTTCAATTATCAGTGACAAAGGGTCTAAAAAAAATTGGTCTTTATGTAAAAAGGTTCAAAGAATTGGTAAAATTTTTTACAGAATCAGTTAAACAATCCAAGCAGCTTGATGAGGCACAAATAGATCTTGTATAACAAAATCATATTCGAGAAGAGGATGTTGAAATTGTTCGATTTAATCCGTTATCAGCTCTTGATATAGATGAAGAAATTGGTTCAGAAGAAGAGGATGAAGATAGAGAAATTAATGAATCTACAATAAAAGTGTTGCATAATATCACCGATATTTGTACTAGATAGAACTCTAGTTACTATTCATGGACAAGACTCTTAGCATTAAAAGATGCAATAACATGGTTAGCATCTGTGTTGCCCTTAAAGAAAGGAAAAGAAAATAAAAGAGACAGTTAAAAATTGTCTCAGTTACTATTAAAAGATTATGAGTGGGATTTGTTAAAAAGAATTGTAAATGCATTTAAACCATTTGAGCATGCAACTAAATTCTTTTCAGGAAGCAAGTATCCCACTCTTTTGCTAATGTATCCTATCATTCATGAATTACAAAATAAATTTATAGATATGAGTTTAGAATTAAGTAATAATAATGAAGATAGCGACAATGAGGATAATAAATTTTGTTGGTTTTATCGATTCTACTTTACTAATGTGACAATTAATATTTAAAGTTTGCTGATGATTAGTAATCACTATAATTATTAACTACTGCAGTAGTAGATTTTTAAATATTAATTAACACGTTATGTGATGTTAACAACTCATTTTTAAAAATTTGCTAATTAAACTAGACATGTTATTAGATTTAGAAAATGATGATGACACTCATTCACAAGCCCTTTCACCACCACCTGATCTTGATTAAATAGAAAAGCAATTTAAAATTGCTATTTATGACTCTTTGAATAAATATTAGTATAATTTTCGTGAAGTTGGATTGGTAGCTATCTTTTAGACCCCCAGACCAAAAGAATGTCTGCATTTACAAACAGAGAACGAGAAAAGGCTGAAACAAAATTAAGGAATGAATTTGAGAATT